TTTAATTTAGGGTTAAGAAACCCACATTACTCTATCAAAGATCAAACTATTAAAGAAAATAACAAAGACAAATATCATTAAACACAAGTTATTACATTAACTTTGTTCAAAGCTATTTTTGTCACCTCTGCATCACTAATGTCCCCGTCGTCATCCGGTGCATGGCAGCTACATCCAAGAGCTCCTCACTGAGATCAGGTCTTATAAACATGGATAGATGCTCTGTATCCGTGTTGTCTGTGCTTTCATCAACAGCTAATGAAGAAGACGAGTACCTGCTCATCTCTTAGCTAGCTGTGTTGTTAGATTGCTGCTAGTTCCTGAACTCGGTCTGCGATGGTGTTTCTGACATTTGTAAAAGTCTGTATCTGGTCGGAGCTCACCTGCTCACATACCTTTAGCATGCACTGGGCTGTAGCTTCTGTAAATATATTCTGCTGTGATTGCAGTCTGCCTTTTAATTCTTGGACAATTTTATGTTTTTCTTGGAGGCTAAATTTAGCTCCGTGTTTGGTGTCAAAATGCCGACGTGAATTGTATCCTTCATCACCGACACGCATCATAGCACAGAAGACAGACCCATTTTTCTCCTTGAAGCACAGACATGTATTCGCTTTCCCATCTTAAATTACATCTTCTTCCCTCTGCATCAATTTTTCTCTTCGTGGACATTTTGGGATTATTTGTCGATCTTTTTCAACTCAATCACTTGTTGGAAAACCACTTTACGGGCTGTTCCCTCTCCTGTCCACCTGTTGTGATAGTTTTAATGTCGGTACACAGACAACATGCTATCTCAGAATTTCAACTTTCTATCTCAGAATTTCGACCATGGGGATACTTTTATTTCCAAGTCTAACTTTAAATTTATTTTCCAAAATTAAAAAAATAAATAAATAAATAATTGTTTTTTTGCTGGCGGATTCGCGGGCCACATAAAATGACGTGGCGGGCCGGATTCGGCCCGCGGGCCTTGAGTTTGACACCTGTGGTATAAGGACTCAAGAGTTCCCTCTCAATACACTTAAGAGAACTAGCTCCGGCCAAAGCGCTCACAGTCCACTGTCTGATCCACACTCCGGAGCAGAAGGTGGCGGTATTGCACAAATAAGATGGATGCCAACCGCCATAAAACTAGAAGAAGTAGCGCTCACAGCGGCGAACAATATATTTTGCTGCCTGTTGAAGAGCGACAGAAGTTGTTTCGGCTGTGCACCGGTATGACGGTATATAAAAAATTCATATCATATGAGAAATTAAAACCGGTATACTGCCCAGCCCTAGTGTGAGGTCACATTAGACCAGTACAATGACTGGTCTTAGAACATTAGCAATGGGTGAGGTCACATTAGACCAGTAGAATGCTAATGTTCTAAGATCTTTATAGACCACTGTCTACACAGATGATCAGGGCTCACCTGATGTAGTCATTCTTGCAGAGGATCATGCCGCCTTTGCTGTAGCAGGTGCTGCTGTACTCGCCCAGCTGAGCGTGGCAACAGGAGCACTTGAGGCATCGCGTATGCCAGTACCGCTCCATTGAGAAGAGCAGGAAGCGGTCTGCGATTCGACCTCCACATCCTGCACACAGCCTGCCCGCTGTAACCCCACCACCGCTCATCACTGCCACTGTGGGCGCCTCCACCCTGCTGTTCACCATAGCAACCTGAAGACGAGAGAAAGAGAGGTTAGACATTAAGGCAGGCAAGTGGAAATATTCAATGGAAACAGTTAAATATGTGGCATTCTTAAATGAAAAGCTCCAAACTGCTTACTTTTCTGATAGTAAGGCCCTTTTCCTTATCAAAAATGTCAGTTTGAATATCGGTCAATATGTATATTCAAATTTGGTATCGGCCCCAAAAATGTGGCCTTACAATGTGTATAAGTTGACACTGTTTATAAAAGTTGGTCGTAGGCTGTTAGATCTTATTTTTTAAGGTAGGTGACACAATTGTTATTGGGATCATCAATGAAGACTCAAAACAATAACTTGTTATGCAAGCCTGTCTGCTAAAGCTGCCGATAATTTAGGGCTTTAACTCCCCATTATTTTCTTTTATTCATTCATTATTTTTTCGATTACAGTTTTTCTCGATTGCCAAGACACATTTCTTGAAACGGTCACCCATTTTCTCAAAACTGTAAACACAAAACCTCATCTTCAAGCACTATTTACAAAACCTCTGAATCCTCTTGCAAAATGAAACTTTCGCCTCAAAACAGTTTTACCTGTGCTCAAAATCAAACACAAATGATTTGCTCTCAAATCATAAACAAAGTGATCAAAATAATATACACTATCAAGCAGTCAGTAAACAATACACCAATAAATAGAAAACACATTGTTCAAAACATATAGTTCTCAGGGAGAAGTAGATTTTTAATCTCAAAACAAATTTCATATGAACGAAAACATGTTCTATTACAGTAGCTCAAAATTGATCAGAAATTACTACTGTGCTTTGCTCTTTGCAATTTCTTTTGTTCTTCCTCCTCCTTGTACCCCTATTTTTACAGTACTGTACCCTGCATCTCACAAACGTGTCCTTTGTCTCTGTGATACTGTAATTCTTGTTCTTTGTTGATATGAACCTGCAACCAGTCAAAATCTATTGAGCAGTCAGTACTGTTACTGTAACAAATAGAAAGCACGATGTTCAAGGCCATACAATTTGTTTATTGTACATTATACAGCCTACAATGCACTGTAGGCCTACTACAGTATATAATACTACAGTAAAAGGGACAAAAATCAAAGGAGTCAACATGTCATCAATGTGCTTCTTCTTGTCTTTGGGCTGGGTCAGGCCAGAGCACTTCGTCGACATCACAAGCAATATTTTCTCTCCTGAGGCAACGGGGGAAGAAGCCTCTTGTGTGCCGTATCCAGCCCTGACATGATTCCTCACCTATATCACCACAGGCTAATTCCATGGCTTGCAGCAGATTTACTCTGGTGTAGGGTTGTCTATCATACACTTTCCATCTCCATGAGGAGAAAAACTCCTCAATCGCATTCAGGAAAGGCGAGTATGGAGAGAGGTACAAGGTCATAAACTGACCATTGATGTTAAACCATTCCCTTACCTGAGCAGCTCGGTGGAAACTGACGTTGTCCAGCACTATCACATTGGTGGGAATGGGATTCTCATTTAGCTCTTGACCCTGCTGCTCAAATAAAATATCTCTTAGATTGGCCAGAAATCTTAGAAGATGCTGGGTGTTATATGGCCCGAGTGTAACATGGTGATGTAGAACACCATGGTTGCTGATAGCAGCACAGATTGTGACATTGCCACCTCGTTGACCAGGGACTTCAACAATGGCCCGCTGTCCAATCACGTTTCGGCCTCTCCTTCTCCTCTTTGTTAGATTGAAGCCTGCTTCATCGACAAAGATTAACTCATGGGGTCTGTCCAAGGATTCCAAGTCAAATATTGTCTGTGTAGGAATACAATATAATGTATGTAGAATTTAGTAAGTTGTACAGAGACAGTGCTATATTGTAGAGTTCGATTTGGCCTACTGTATGCACTTCTGATTCACATACATTGCATGTACTGAAGAGTAATGTCATTCACATAGTATGTGGCAGTACTGTAGACAATCTGGATTACAGTAAATGTGTCTGAATGTACACTTACTTGCACATACTGAGCTCGCAGTTCTTTCACCCTTGGTGAGTTGCGCTCAAAAGGTACTCTGTATACTTGTTTCATTCGTATCCTGTTACGATGGAGGACACGGTCAATTGTGGAAATGCTCACACTGTCGATTCCCTGGAAGTGTGTGTTGTCTTGTATCACTCGTTCCTGGATTTCTCTGAGTCGTATTAAATTATCTTGAAGGACCATGCCCACTGTAACGGTCTCTTGCTCCTGAGTGAATATAGCTCTCCTTCCACCTGCATGTGGCAGCCTTGCAGTTCTACAAAAAGTAGATGTGCAGTTACAAAAAATATTCATGCAGTACAATAAATACAGTGATGAACTTTACAAATGTCTATTGAAACAGCTGCATATAGTGTAGTACAGTAAATTTGCAATTACAAAAATACAGTAGCATACTGTACCTGTTCTCTTCTCTGAATGTCCTTACTATGGTGGACACAGAAAATCGGCTCAAATTGGGGTGCACTCTAAGTCCTGCTTCCCTCATTGTCAGTCCGTGGACTATAACATGGTCTATGACTGTTGCTCGAATTTCATCAGATATTTCCACTCTTTGTCTTCCTCTTCTTATTCGTCCTCCTCTTCCTCTTTCTTGCCCTCCTCCTCTTCCTCCTTGTCGCCCACCTCTCATACGCACTTGTCCTCGTCCTCTCACATTGTTTCTTCTATCCATTCTCAGACTTTCTCCTTCCCACCTTCAACCACCCGTTTGCTCTCTAAACTGGCTTATATTGGTTGTGTCACATCATTTGATACAAGTGAAATCGATTTTGAGTGATTGTGTTTAATCAATGACACGTGTTCTCTATTTGTATTTGATTGTTGCCACTTGTGTTTACCAGTATGGATGACATGTGCATTAGAGTGCAGAATGTGTTTTGAGACCGAGAATGTGTTTAGAGTTTTGCTGAAAAGTCTAAGTGAGATCTGCAAATTGTGTTTTACCATGTGAAATAGTTTAAGGTATTGACAACAGACTGCACAATTAGCTAAATGAGTTCAGGCAACTGAGAACTTTGTTCAGCTAATGTGTTTTAGTGTTTTAGCAATTGAGAAAAACTGTAATAATAGGGCCACCCCCTGATTAATAATGATGAACGAATAATTTGTGAGAATAAATGACAAAGCAGTTTAAACATTCGAGGCTATCCACACCGTTTCCAGCAAGCCGGAGAGTAAACCGCAGTGAGAATGCTGTTTTTGAAAGGCTAATCGCCAACAAATAGAGATTTAAGAAGAATATCTTGTTAGATAAAAACAAGGTGTGAATTTTGGAAATGATGGCATCTATCTTTTTTTTTCATTTTGACTTTTAGACACATTACAGAGAAGGACTGAGCACCACGTTGCTGTGTGAGTGTGAGAGAGTGAGAGTGTGAGAGAGAGTGAGAGTGAGAGAGAGTGACAGAGAGTGAGAGAGAGAGTGGGAGTGGGAGTGAGAGAGAGAGAGTGAGTGAGAGTGAGAGAGATGTTTTGCAGTTAATGTTTATGCTTGAGGAATCCACACAGCCCCGGAAGTATTAAGCTGACCATTATAAATCATTAGGCCTTGTATCGGCCATGTATCCAATGCAATCGATTGGCTTTGGAACTTCCTGGTAAAAAGCGTGGGACTATTTACTGGTGGAGAAAACCCAACAGGAAAACACACACACACACACACTCCATCAGAGTTACAGTTTAACACCAAGTTCACAGTTGTGTCCAAACAAAACCATACACACAAATAATGTACTTTAACTTGATAATTTGTCCAAAGAGGAGACTCTTTGATGCTGTGCAGCATGGCTGCACTGTCAGGATGCAGAGACCTACACTTCATTCATTTCATTCTGCTGCTCATTTCTTCATCATCTCTTTCAAACGTCATGGAAACACAATCCAAACTTATTGTAAACGGTTTCAAAATGTAATGGTTATAAGTTAAGTTGCTATAGCTGCTGGTGTTAGACATATGCCATCAGGCAACATTCACTGTATTTCTCCTGTTTCCTTCCATGACAAAACTGAACGAATTTCATGCACAGCTGGGAATAATATTGCTTTTGAGTCACACTGAGTACAACCATAGCAGTGTGTGCTACTCAGCAATGAGTCAGCAACAGCGCCTCTTCAGCCGCTTCCATGATTTATAATTAGCGCCAACAACAACAACATAAAATAATTGCAGGGCTAGATTAATTTTCCAAATGAGCAACAGCAGCACAATTTGTCCTCTAGAGTGTCTAATTTCAGCAAGGCCATGTTTAGCTTTACGACTAGCCTTCCCACAAGATTATTTGAGATTGCAGCAGCTGGTCCTCTGCAGTGAAGCAGGCTGCCCTCAATACCCTCATTTCCTAGAGTAGCCACCTGGCTCTAATCAGCCACAGGGACACCATGTAAAGGAGCCCAAGGCTGCATTCAAACCAAACAGCCTCATGCACCGGGGCCAAACCTTCCTATTAGCGAAGGCTTATTCGTGAATTGAAAAAGTGAGTCAACTACCTAATTCAAAAATTCACTTTTAAATTAAACCATTTTAATTCTGGTTTTGTCAATATTAGCATTAAATTCAGGTTCAAGAGGCTGAAATCTCTTTTAAGTGTTTCTAATATTTTGCCCTTTTTCAATTTTTACAGTGCATATACACAACAACAGCCTGAAGCAAAGGGCAATATAACTAAACATAGTTCTCTATTCAAAACAAAAGGTCTTTGTCTGGTTTCTTGGAACATAAGAAATCTGGTTATTCATATTCCTGTTTATCCAGGTTTCAGTAGTAGTGATGCATGTATTGGGACTTCACCATGTAGGAGAGACAAAGAGAGAGGCCTACATGTAAAAAGAAATGCCTAAACTGGTTTAAACACTGGTGCCTCATTGGACAAGCCCCACAGGAACCCCAGGGAATCCCTGTGACACGGTCATGACGTCACCAAAACTATAAACATCTGTGCACACCTTCACCCTGCGCAGTTCCACTGCGAGTCATGTTGCTAAAAGGAGGTGACAACATTGGTGCCGAACAACCTAGGTAACAGTCCCTATCTCGCTGGACGATAAGCTATTGTGTATTTTACAGACCGCTGAGCCCCGTTCAGTGTTGTGTAAAATAATGTTGCTCCACGCTGCTGAGCTTTGGTGTGTTTAAATCCACCACCGCGAGTAAAGTTGGTAAACTGTACTTTATTAGTTAAAGGTCCAGTGGCAAACTTGAGTTCTCCAGTTGGTCTTCTGTGGGATAAAGTTACAGTTACTGTTCTTTACTGCTGTGGTGAGGACCTGCCTTGTATCGAGGTCTTTCTTCTTCTTTTCCTAACTAACCCACACACGTATCCATACACACACATACATCGTTACACTTATTCATACCCACGTGGTGTTAAGGGTGGCCTCCATTGTGTGTTGCATCCCCCCTTTTAATCTTGCATGGCATAACCACTCACATGACTACGTCCGCCATCTTGCTCTCTCTCTCTTTTTTCTCTCTCCTTCCCCTTCAACACACAAAAACAAACACACACCACGTGGTTGCTTGTTGCTTTTAGGTAGTACGCTTGTAGTAGTATAATGGATGTTTTGTTTATTTATAATATTGTTGATTTTTTGACTTAATCCACAGTTTGGTTGTTGGTCCCTGATCTCAGGGTTGTGCGAAAAATCCATTTATCATCATTTATGTTGTTTTCTTGACAAACGATGTATGTGCACAGCATCCTGGTCTTTATCACAGTACTCCAGCCAGCATGTTTAAGTTTCTAAAACCAGGTAAAAGGATTAACAGGAGCCCTGACCTGCTGCGAAGTGGGATGGAGATTAGAGATCAACTCGTATAAAAGCACCGCCTACTGATCAATCAAAGCTCTGTATGTGGATTGTTAGAAAATATTCATTAGATAATAATACACAAATAAGAAGAAGTTAAAGTTATAATCTAGACTAAAAGTAAAACAGTTTAAACTGCCAAATGCAGGAAGGACGGCTGGTAATAAATCAGTGGCTGTGTGAATGTGTAAAATAACAGATTTATAATTTCACTGCTTCATCTAGAGCACGATAGATCTGACTATAATTACATGTCTGTGTTTCATTAAATTAAATGTATAACAACATAAAGCCTTACTCAACACTATATCATGAGGTTTACTCCATATGTAAAATGGTAAATGGACTCTTAAAAGTATATCTCTTTTCTAGTCTTCCGCCGCTTTCACACTACATGTCATCATTCACCCATTCACACCCATTCATACACTGATGACAGGGCATTCATACAGCCTACAGCCAATTTGGGGTTTAGTGTATTGTGCAATGACACAACAACATGGACTACGGGGCCGGGGATCGAACCGCTGATCCTCTGATTGAAGGACGACCACAGTCGCCTCCATGTGTAATCTAATCTTTCTGCCTTTAGCGGCCTTTAGCCAACAGCATTTCCCATGAGCCCTAGACATTTGTGGCCTTAATGTCACAGCTTGAGAGAAAAGGCGATTCCATGAGGGAGTTGAGAAGCCAGGGATGGTTCAGACATGTCTGGAATAGTTTTATATATTATATCATTATAGATATGGACAAAACCAATGAAAGAAATACTGAATGACTGAACTGTGTCACAGAGGCTAGCGTGACGTTTTGGCTTCATCTCACTGTACTAGTGGATTTTGCAGCTGTTTGCTGGTGGAAGCAGTCTGGGTGTCCCATGCTTCGACATACAATGAAAGGTTCAGGGGAAGATACAGTAGTCAAGGTTCAACCAAAGAAAGTAAACACAACATGGACACCAACAGTGAAACCTTTATCTTGAATATTATTCCCTGCCACGTGTGAACCTAATTGCAGAGGAGCAGCCGATGTAATCCTCATGCAAACACCTGTGTTAATCCAGCAAGTGTCACGACATCTGTCAAATTCTCTCTAATTCAATTCTTATATAAATAAAGTGCAAATCCTGCTTTTATTCATCATCTGCCATGCAAAGCCTTGATGCGTCATCAGTTTCAGTGAGTGGAAGCAGGGCTTTAGATATTTCAGTGTGAATCCAGACAGGGAATGCATGGCCTTCTTCTGTTGAACCCGACTGTGGTAGGAAAGAACAACACAGTACATACTGCTGGACATGAAGAAGTAGACATATCATGCTCATGACGCTAACTACATACTTTCTTAGTAGTTGTACTACTGTATTTCAATAATGCCATTTGTATAATTTTATGCGCCTCACGATGCGGGCTACGCTGCTAACTTGTAACGATAGCATGTTAGCATGAAGCGTACTGCAGCGCGGACCAACAGTAAACATAAACGTGTGT